AATAGGGTCACTTCATTTCTTGGACCTATTGGTATAAATTACAAGTCTAAAATTTGAATAGCTCATGGAAAATATTTATTTGTTAATATAACTGGCTCAAAGCTGAGCCATATTAGGAATTTTGCTTCAGTGATAATATAAAAAATATAGTTGTTGTCACATTACATATCTTAAACACCTAGGACTTTTAGTTATGATTTTACTTCTGTTTCATCTGTGGAAGTAACTACATGTAATGCTACTTTTAATATTAAATAGATTGCATGAGTTCTCAAATATCTATTCTATTACCATGTTTCATTTACAGAGCTCTACCTAGATGGCCAATGTCCATTTCCACTATGAAACATTACTTACCATTCTTTTTATGGGTTTATATCTTGGCCTAAGTTGCATAACCTTACAGCACCCAAAAATGTGCTAAGCATTTCACAATACAAATAAGAGGACACAAGTCTCTGTCCAGAAGAGTTTAAAAACTGGGACATGGTGCTACAAAAAGGGGGCAGCCTTTATGTTGCGGGAGGGGGGAGAGAAGAGATGGGAGAATATCAAAACATGATGTGGTTATTCAGCAAAGCCTAATGCACAGCATAATGGTGCAAGATACTCTTATATTTTTAAAAAATAGCTGAATGTTATGGTTAACTTATTTCTTGTCTCTTTGTAGAAGTGGGTCTTAAGGAGGGACCTGAAAGAGGAAAGGGCCTTGTGGACCAACTTGGAATTTACTTGAACAAGTAATAAATGAATCGAGGGTTTGAATGCAGACTTCTGTTCAATAACTACTTAGTTTGAATCGGTCTTGTAAAATAGTAATGAAAATTTACCAACCGAGGCACAAAATTACTTTCTTCGCCTTTACCATGATTAAAAAAAAATTGCAAAAGGGTGAATAGAATTCACCAAGGCTGACTTAAGTTATTTGAGCAATTAATTTTTGAATGGTCAGAATCCCTCTTAGTGTGACAGATACACTCCACTGAAAAAAATTTTTTCTTTAAATTACAAGTAAATTTCTTGCTCATGAAAGATGCTGGATTTACAACAGTGGGCAACTGAAATCCCCTGTTCAGAACAGGTACAGTACAGGCAATAGTTCAAGATTCTCTTCTGGACTCTCATTCTCCTCCGCCCCCCCTTCCACCGCAGAGTGTCTCAGCACTCTTGTGGAAGGACTAGGAAACAGCAGTTCATGGTCCACTCTGTCCTTGGCTTCTAATCAAAGATGCCAGTAGCAATGCAGTTATTTCGGTGTGCATCTTCTTCTATGAGGAATGGACTAGGATAATCTAACTGGGTAATTATAATGGGAAAGGTTTTGATTTTAATGGGAGGCAATATTGCCTAGTTATTATAGGTTAGTTAGTGCACCCATCTTCCATTCCCAACTTGGTAACTAAATTGTTGAAACCATCGGTACGTCACTTAACCTCTGGCTCTCTAGTTTCCTCAGTTGTAAAATAGATGTACTTCAGGATGCTGTCACTAAATGTTTGTAAAGTGTTTTGAGATCTTAAAATTAAAGTCCTATGTAAGGGCAAAGTATTAGTGTTGTTTTTTTAAAAAATAAACATACTTTCTGAAAAGTAGCTGTGCATACATAAGTACTTCAGTGAAATTGTTTTAGTACTTTAGTCTCATTCAAATTTAAATCTTCTAAAGCTACATCAATAATCTTAACTTGTATAGCATTCAGTTGATACACTTGAATTTACATAGTATCTACATCAAACAAGTCATGATGTTTGTGGTAGTACTATTACTGGGGTTTTCTTTAAATGTTACTTAGAGGAAATTAAATACAAAAGTCTATTGCAGTATCTTTGAATTTCCTTGTTTGTGGTTTGAAAATAGACCATCAGTATTAAGTTTGCATTCTGTCCTTGTCATTCCATTGTTGCTAATACTGTTTACAAGTGAGTTAACTCTGTCATCCCTGAAACATTTTAAACACAGTAGAAAGATTCAGGCGAACATCTTTACGCTAAATGTCCTTGCTTTTTTACCTTTTAATATAATGGGTTATTTATATTAGTTTTTGAATGAAAATGTTTCCACTTCCCATGGTTTAGACCCTTTTGAAAATTTTACCATAGAGGTTTCTGTGAATTGGGTCTGGTTCCCACATAATCTGTAAATCGTAGTAATAGGAAACTTCCATAGTGTGACAATCCAGAGCTTTTTCTTGGGAGCCATTTTTGAATTCATTAAGAATGAGGCAGTTATTGGCTAGCAGCACTTGCTGCCAGTAATGTTTGCAGCTTGTGAAATTGATTTCAGTGACCTGTACTAGCACTTATATATTTGGAAATCTTGTCTATTCTAGGTTTATTTTCTGAAAAACTTCCCACCGTTGCTAATGCCAAATTCAGCTCCACCAACAGTGTTGTTAACAGTGGGAGCCCAAGTGTAGGCAAGATTGCTAGAGGCTGTCTGGACTTTGGTTTAACATCTGTAAATACCAGGACATTTTTCTGAAAAGGCCAGTATGTAGACAGTCAAAAGAAGCAAACTTTGGAAGGAGTGTGTGGTGAGGGTTGTGTGTGTGAGGAGGGGGAAGTTGTCAGATACCTAACTATAATTCTGTATTCACAGTCCACATTTGTAGTTTAGGAAACTGTCATTGTCAGTCTTGTTATAACTTAAGAGAAATTGGTACTGATCTTATGATAGAATTAAAAGAGGACCTATATTTTATGTATTTTCACATACCAAAATAGTGTTTTTATAGATGTCTTCTTAATAAGGCTACGATTTAGTCACGGAAATCACAGAATCCATAACTTCAAAATATCTCCCTGACTTCAGCCAGCGCTGGTGGGGAGCTGCAGGGTTCCCTGCCACCTGTGGAGGCAGGGAACTGTGGGGTACCCTTGCAGCTCCCGGCCTCCGTGGGTGGCAGTGGGGAGCCCCGTAGCTTCCAGACACTTCTCCCAGCCCCCACAGGCAGCAGGGGGATACGCTGCTCTCCGCCCCCACGGGCAGCACTGGGGACCCCTGCAGTTTGGAGCTGCCAGCTGAGGGGGACCCTGGTGCTCCCAGCCCCTCCCTCCCCCCAGCTGCCCAAGCTACCCCTTTTGTCATGGGTATTTTTAGTAAATGTCAAGGACAGGACATGGGCTTCTGTGAATTTTTCATTATTGCCTGTGACCTGTCCCTGACCTTTTACTAAAAATATCCAAGACGAAAATTTAGCCGTACTTATTAATCATCTCAAATTCCAGAGATGACACTTAAGTAAAGATTAGCAAGAGTTAAAACTATATCTACAGATGTATCAAAAGCCAAATGACATGGTTAAAAAAGACACTGCCTTTTTTTAGTTGAGCTGGGATAGATTTTGGTCCTATGATGGGATTATTAATTTACAAGAGCAAAAATTTTTATCATTCAAACAAAATAAGATTTTATTGAATTGTTTTCCACTTTTTAATCACACAGCGTATCTAGATAAAATAGCTACCAACAGTGCAACCTGCTAGCCCTCTAAAGTATTCCAGTCACAACAAACATTACTGTTACAGTTCACTCTTCACCTCTGATAATTCCTTGGTGCTTAAGTAAAATGAAATTCTCTTTTCTTAAAGTAAAGAAAAGGGGGGTGGGGCGGTCTGTGCTTCCTTTAATCTCTAGTGCCCGGAAAAGGTATCTATAATGTCTGGAAAAAAAGAGACATTTTTCAGATTTCTACCACCTCAACCACTACCATCCTCCAGTGCAAATGCCCCATTGTTGTACTTCAAGATATGACTTAATGGTTGTGCAATCCATTGCTGTTACAGTGGTAGCAACAGCACATAAACGGGGGATTCCAATATCCACAAACCTGCCAGGGCTGTGGATCTAACTTTTGCCTTTGTGGGTTGGATTAGATCTTAATTCTGGTTGTTAGGGAATTCAGGAATCTCTGTAGCTTCAAAAGTACCGAATTTAGCCTTTCCTTTACAGTTGAACTGTAAATTAGTTCATAAACTTTCCCAGTCAGTAACAGACAGTGGACTTAGAATTAATTTACAAATAGTTTCTCCTTTATTAGAATTAATTTACGAATAGCTTCTCCCTTATTTACCTATGACAACCTCAGTGTAGGGCTCTCTGTCTCCCCCTCAGTGTTTGACCTCATCAGCTGTTGAAAGAGAAACATAGAACCATGAAATGGACTCTGGCTAAGTAAAGTCTTCAGTGCACATTTTAGTGGTAAACAAGTGTGCTGACTGAAGTCTTTACTGGCATCTTTAATTGCTTGTCAACCACTCAAATCAAATCAAACTCAGAAATATGGAAAATGGAGTAGCATTGAACCCAATGTGCTCTTGAAATAGCACTCTGAAAAGAACTCTGTTAAATATTCTGCACCAGAAACTTCTGTGAGAACAGAGGTTCTTTCCCTGACAGCCTATCGCAATGTGATAGTGATGTGATAGACTTAAAAGAGCGCAGTGTGGGCTACCCAAAATCTTGAGCGAAATGTCATTGAACATATAACCAGTTCACTTCCCTGCTGTTGGATATACAGCTAAGAAAACTGCTATAGGTTGATTTTAAAAAGTCTCTCAAAAAACAAAATTCCTTGGAGCCCTGATTTATCAACTTCCAGATGAGCTAGAATACATATGCACAAAAGAGTGGACTGAATTTGTAAGAGCTTTGACACAGTAGGTACATTTTGATCTAAATGAAAATACATTTTTTAAAGTTATCCCTAGGTGCTGCTTGAGTAGACTTTTTTTTCTTTTCGGTAGTCATTGCATCAGCTCTTCTGTTGAGTGTTCACTTTAAAGTTTGACAACATCTAGTTTTCACAGCCCACCTCATTTTAAGAACAAACCAGACAGAAAATGTACTAGTTTTTCTTAAGAAATGGTGACAGCTCTTTATGTTCCATGATGTGGGTGAAGTAAGAATATATTACTGAGAATTAAAAGTGCAGCTCTTCATGAGACAAAACATATTTTGACTTAAACTTCTTTTCCCCTTATTACTTTCTTTTTCAATAGAAACTATGTTCCAACTTCCTGTCAACAACCTTGGCAGTTTAAGAAAAGCCCGGAAAACTGTGAAAAAAATACTTAGTGACATTGGTTTGGAATACTGTAAAGAACATATAGAAGTAAGTATGACATCTGACATAGCTTTCTGGTTTGAATCGAGGCACTTCGATTCAATTTTCTGCTGAAGTGATATTTCTTATTGAGATTTCATAAAAACATTGTATTAGCTTCCATGACATCAGATCCATACATTTTTGATAGACCTTTAATTTTACCCCTTCACTTTACCTCTGGAGTTGTAATCTTCAGATGAGAATGAGTTGTATGGGGTTCTGTTAGAGAATTACTGCCATCTAGAAGAGTCATTCTTAAATGGTTACCAGGAGTTGCTACTGAAGCAAGTTACACACTTTTAAGCCTCATCTAAACTGGGATTTAAAGGTGTAGTGTTAGCTAATGTGCTTAGGCTTTAACTTGACTGGTCTGGCATGTGTTGAAGGCAGTGAGCTTTGTCTATGCTAGACTTTTAAAATGTGTTAGCAGGTGCTGGCTGTTATAGTAAAATGACGCCTTTAAATCCTAGACAAGGCCTTAGAGCCTGCTCTCCTAGGGGCCAAGAGATGAACTGAGATTTTTACAGGTATTTCAGTGCAGAACAATAGGACTCTGGACTTAAGGACTGCCTTCTAGAACGGCTCAAGTTGATATCTCAGACATATTCTGCTATTAATCTTACTGACAAACTTTAAAATATTGCTTATCAAAAACCTTTTTTCCTGAAGTGAATACCCGGTACGATCACCTTTCCACTCATCTGCTCTTTGGCTCTTCAGCACCCTATAGATAGTAGTCTTCTGTGTTTTGTTCTAGTTTGAAACTGGCTCCTCTTCTTCATGTTATTGTTCCAGATCATTTCCAAATAAAATGAGTGTTCATCCCTTTTGGTTTGGGATCAATTGCTTTGAATAAGTGTGGGTTGAATAATGGGCTTCAGGGTAAAATTTCCAAAGGAGTTTGAATCCAGATTTCAAAAGTGATTTAGGTCTGAGTCCCATTGACTTTCAGTCAGACTTTGGGATTCAGAGTACCTTAGGTGCTTTCAAAAATGGGACTTAACCTGCTGTTAAAAACTTCACCTACGTCCCTATGCCAGAATTTAAAAAAATAGAAGCTGAAGTCCATATTTAAACACACATCGGATTTAAAAAAATACTCAACATTGATCTCAGTGGGAGCTGTCAGGTGCTGAACACTTTTGAAAATCTTGAAAGTCAGACTTGGATTGACTTTTAAGGATTTTATTTTTGAAAATCTTGGCTCTCGGTTATTTAGTGTCTTTCAGCCTGTACTTTTCAGAATTGCTTATTTGGAACCGCTAATTCCTTGGGAACCCACCTTTTTTTGTCAAGGGAAACTTCAGTTGAAATAAATGTAAAAGATGCATTTTTATGATTTTCATGAGGGGAAATTTTCCCTTGGGTTAATGATCCCTTGTACTACTTGTGGGTAGTTCTTGGTGGACAGAGGGCTGTGTGGGTGTCTTCGTGAGTAATTAATGGGGAGCAATCAGTTTTTGTTTTTGATGTTTCTCTGTTTTTCCATCCACCCTTTTCCAGGATTTTAAGCAGTTTGAACCTAATGACTTTTATTTGAAAAACACTACATGGGAAGATGTAGGATTGTGGGATCCATCGCTTACAAAAAATCAGGTTAGTAATGGTTCCACATATCAGATCCTGCAGGCAGTAACTTTCAAATGGTGTTTTGCACAATTATACCAATTTCTTTTGTTGTATTTTACCAGCTTTAATGGTGGTTTTTGTAATCTTCTACTTAAAGGATTATTAGAAGGGTGCTTTTGTTGTACAAGTAATAATCCTAGTCTTGACTGGGTTAAACAGATGCTGAGGGCCAGTTATTCGAATGAGAAACTTCACTGTTGAGAAACTTTAAGCACCTGTTCTATTATTGCACCTTAAGTGCCAAACTTCATTTAAAAAAAAAAAAAATTGCCATCCTTGTTTTCCAGCTCAGCACAAACTCACCATCCCTCTAGTTAAAAGTATAACTATTTGTACAGATTATTTCTACAAGATTTGCTTCACCTCTCCCTAATTCAGTTCCACCATCTGTTTTCATGATGAATTCAGAAAAATATTAAGCAGAATAGATCCAACTGCTGCTTTCTCCACTGTCATAGCTTTCAGCTGTCTGCTACATCTCTGAGGACTTGGTGATAACCCATCTGTGTCAGAGCCTGTTCAGTTTAGTACAGCAGAATGGAGTGGCAGTGTTGTTGGAAATCTTATTTATTCTTTTCTAGATGTTTCTGAATTGACTGTAAAGCTAAGGAGGTTTGAACTGAGCTAGGAGAAATGGAGGAAAAGAATGTAACTGTGATGGTGACTTCTCTCTTATTCCACTGACTAAACAAATTTAACAGAAGCCCTTCACTTTAATTCTATGATAGCCTCCACTTTTAGTATACAGGCGAGTCTCATCTTACGCGCATTTAACATGCGCAAATTCAGCTTTAGCGGTCAGCAAAAAAAAAAAGAGAGAGAGAGAAAAATTATAATTTCAATGCTGTACCTGTAGTGCGGGCGATTCCACCCGCCATTACACTCAATGATTTTGACTATACGCGATTTTCGCTTTACGCGCTGACAGCGGAACGTAACCCCAGCGTAAGATGAGACTCGCCTGTAATATATACTAAAATAAGCAGTGAAACAATGACAGGTGAACATTCCACTTATAAAATCAGGTGGTATAAGTATCAGGTATTGCTCACCCCTGGAAACAGGATGCTTATATTTTGATGGATCACTGGTCTGGTATTTGTAAAACCAAAGTCCCTTTATTGCTATGCCCCTGACATTGCATCAGTATGTTCTCCCTGCTTCTAATATATTCAACAAAAAGATTTGTCACATCAAAGCAGACAACTCTTAATTCTGTGGCCTGTTTCCAGCAATGGCCAGTATCTGAGGCTTCAGAAGGTGGCCAGAAATACACACAGCTCACCTGTTCATACAGAGGGGGGGAGTAATTCATTCCTTAACTTCAGGGGATCCACTTGCACCTTGAAGCTTCACTTGCATAGCTATGAATGTTGTTCATAGTTATCTCAATTTGTCATGTTTTATATTTAATGTTAAATTATTTTGAAATGCCAGGCTGACTTCAAAGATAGACATGAATCATGGATAGTTTAATTTCAGTTTGAATTGTAACAGTTGACACAGCATCAGCAACCCTTTCAAAGCTGCTACAATTCAGGGGGAGCAAGAGGGCTATGAAAGAGCTAGGTGGTATTACATAAAAGAGCAGAATTTTTCAAAAGCCTTATTTTTTTTTTTCTGATCCGTGGTGAGTTTTGAAATATTTACAACTTAGCTTTTGGTCAGTAGAAAAAGTTGGTTGTTTGAAGCTCTATTTCTCAAGTATCGGTGATAGGATGATTATGTGTCTAAATTAAACATTACAATTAAATAAGGCCCTTTTGGATCTGATTTATGTTTCATGAAGAGTATTCCTTCTGCTTCATGCCAAATTCACAAAATAACTTCTGCATCATAGTTTGCATGCACATCCCCCACCTCCTATGTTACATTGTCTTAATTGTGCCCTGATTAGTGTTGCTTTAATCTGTCTAGAAGCAACAGGACTGTGGAGCTAAACTGCTCAGTTCTGCTCCATTCTCAAAAGTGAATAAGATACTATAATACAAAGAGAGGCACTAGGCTTGTGTGGCCATATCACTGGAAATGGCAGTTTAAAATACTTATTTCAAAATACTGCACAAATTTAGAAAGCTTTTGAGGACAGTATTAATAGAAAATTGTTAATTGTGGCTAATGACTGGATTAAAGCACATTGAAATATCTAAAAATATTATTTTGTGAAATACTTCGATCTGAAGTGACCTTTTTTGGCCTGAATACCTCATTCTGTGAGCTTGCCAACTAACAGTACATTACAGTTCTAACAGCCAAGCCCACATCTTCTGGAAAAAGATGTTGATAAACTCTGTTCCATGCAACCTGACAGGCAGCATTGTTTCCATTCCCTTACTAAGAAAGAGTGATATCTTTATGAATTAACCATAAACATGACACACTGGGCTATGCTTTCAAAGTGACCTCTAAATTGGCACCTTTCATTTTACATGTGCAGTCTGGTAATTAAACTTCTAATTACCTGGTTTACAGGCCAAAAAATGTGAATGCCAAATTAATGGCAGAGTTGAAGCTTGTCTGGCCCATTGTAATGGTCTCTGAGACGAGCTGAAATTCCACACTGTCCATGTTGCTTAGTGCAAAATGTCTTGTTAAAAAAAAAAAGTGTTTTTTATATCTAGTTTTTGTTTTGTTCTTTGTTTTAAGGACTATCGGACAAAACCCTTTTGCTGCAGTGCATGTCCATTTTCGTCGAAGTTCTTTTCAGCCTATAAAAGTCACTTCCGGAATGTTCATAGTGAAGACTTTGAAAATAGGATTCTTCTTAATTGTCCCTACTGTACTTTCAATGCGGACAAAAAGACTTTGGAAACGCACATTAAAATATTTCATGCTCCAAATGCCAATACACCGAGTGGAGGCATCAGCACTTTTAAAGATAAAAACAAACATGATAGCCTTAAACCTAAGCAGGCTGACAGTGTAGAACAAGCTGTTTATTATTGTAAGAAGTGCACTTACCGAGATCCTCTATATGAAATAGTTAGAAAGCACATTTACAGGGAACATTTTCAGCATGTTGCTGCACCTTACGTAGCAAAGGCAGGTGAAAAGTCACTCAATGGTGCAGTTCCCTTAAGTTCCAGTACCCGAGAGGAGGGTAGTATTCACTGCAAACGATGCCTTTTTATGCCGAAGTCATATGAAGCTTTAGTACAGCATGTTATTGAAGACCATGAACGTATAGGATATCAGGTTACAGCAATGATAGGGCACACTAATGTAGTGGTTCCAAGATCCAAACCTTTGATGCTAATAGCTCCAAAACCACAGGATAAAAAGCCTATGGGACTTCCTCAAAGGATGGGTCCCCTTTCCCCTGGAAATGTCCGATCTCTTCCATCACAGCAGATGATGAATCGACTCACTATACCAAAGCCTACATTAAATTCTGCGGGAGTGAATATGATGTCAAATGTTCACCTACAACAGAACAATTATGGAGTCAAATCAGTACCACCAAGTTATGTTGGACAGCCGGGGGGAAGGCTAAACTTAAGTGGTAACGCACCAGTGTCTATTCCACAACAGTCTCAAACAATGAAACAGTTTTCACCAAGTGGAAATGGAAGGCCTTATACCCTTGGAGGGGAGCAGAGATCTCAGACTCCAGCAAGGTACTCTCTTCAGTCTGCCAATTCCTCTTCTCTTTCATCAGCCCAGTTGAAACAAACGTCATTATCTCAGTCTCAGGCAGCATCAAGAGTATTAGGTCAGTCTGGCTCAAAGCCTCCTGTGGCTGCTACAGGCCCTTCCGCTGTCAATACTTCATCAACACAAAAGTGGAAAATTTGTACAATCTGTAATGAGCTGTTTCCTGAAAACGTGTACAGTGTTCACTTTGAAAAGGAGCACAAGGCTGAAAAGGTGCCTGCAGTAGCTAACTATATAATGAAAATACACAATTTCACTAGCAAATGTTTATACTGTAATCGCTATTTACCCACTGATACGTTGCTTAATCATATGTTAATCCATGGACTGTCTTGTCCATACTGCCGTTCAACTTTCAATGATGTTGAAAAGATGGCTGCTCATATGCGAATGGTTCATGTTGATGAAGAAATGGGACCTAAAACTGATTCCACTTTAACCTTTGATTTGACATTGCAGCAGGGTAGTCACACTAATATACATCTACTTGTAACCACCTACAATCTGAGAGATGCCCCTGCTGAATCTGTAGCTTATCATGCTCAGAATACTCCTCCTGTTCCTCCAAAACCACAGCCGAAAATCCAGGAGAAGGCAGATATACCTGTGAAAAGTTCTCCTCAAGCAGCAGTCCCCTACAAAAAAGATGTGGGTAAAACACTCTGCCCTCTTTGCTTTTCAATCCTAAAAGGACCCATATCTGATGCACTCGCACATCACTTAAGGGAGAGGCATCAAGTTATTCAAACAGTTCATCCAGTTGAGAAAAAGCTAACATATAAATGCATTCATTGTCTTGGTGTGTATACCAGTAATATGACTGCCTCAACTATAACGCTACACCTTGTTCACTGCAGAGGGGTTGGGAAGACCCAAAACGGCCAAGACAAAGCTAATGCACCATCTCGACTAAATCAGTCTCCAGCTGTAGCACCTGTGAAACGTACTTATGAACACATGGAATTCTCTCTGATGAAGAAAAGAAAAATGGATGATGATGACTCGCCGTCTGCCTTTGAAGAGAAGCCTGAAGAACCTGTAGTTTTAGCTTTAGACCCTAAAGGTCATGAAGATGATTCTTATGAAGCCAGAAAAACATTTCTTACAAAATATTTCAATAAACAACCTTATCCCAGTAGGAGAGAAATTGAAAAGTTGGCTGCCAGTTTATGGCTATGGAAATCAGATATTGCTTCACATTTTAGCAACAAAAGAAAGAAATGTGTTAGAGATTGTGAAAAGTACAAGCCTGGTGTGCTGCTTGGTTTTAACATGAAAGAATTAAACAAAGTTAAACACGAAATGGATTTTGATGCTGAATGGCTGTTTGAAAATCATGATGAAAAGAATTCCAGAGTCAATGCTAGTAAAACTGTTGATAAAAAAATAAACCTAGAAAAAGATGATGAAAGTTCTTCAGACAGTTATGAAAATATAGAAGAGGAATCTAATGAAAGCAATAGTCCATTTGGTCAACCAATTTCAGATGTTGGTCGTAAAACCTCTATTGATAGCATAATAGAGAATCCAGAAGACAGCATATCCAAGGAGACTACTGATGAAAATCCCTTACAGTCTCCAGAGAAATCAGACCAAAAACAGGAGGAAGGCTCAAAATATGAAGAGATTCACTCTGCCAAGGAACCAATTAAACTGGTAGGTGATGCCTCAGATAGTGAAGGTGATCAAGAAGATCAAGATGATGCTGCTGAATGGAAAGATGGAGCTTCACAGTCTGAAAGTGGACCTGGCTCTCAGCAAGTTTCTGACTTTGAAGACAATACATCAGAGGTGAAACCAGAAGTTTGGACAGATGAATCATCCCAGAGCGAAGATGCTGGTAGTAGTAAACCAGCTGCAGAAATAAAAGGGGTTGCATCTGAAAGTGATGAAGAGCAATCAAAATGGAAGAATAGTTCCTATGGAAAAGTAGAAGAATTTTGGTCTAAGGACCAGTCACAATGGAAAAATGCATCAGAAATTGAGGAGAGTTTGTCAAATCAGCAGATGGAATGGCAGAATAGCACAATTGACAGCGAAGATGGAGATCAGTTTGACAATGTGACTGATGGTGTAGCAGAACCAATGCATAGCAGCTTAACTGGTGTAGAGTTGAGTAGCCAGCAAGCATAAGCTGCTCAACTCAGAAGCATGAGTAAATGTGCTTCAATCTACAACTGTCTAAATACTTTCATTTCAATATGACTGCTAAGCTTAATTCTAACTGGTACTGCCTTTTGAGTGCTAGGTCATCTGGCTAGTGGTTGATGTGGCCACTAATATTCCAGTGGTTATTCCTGAGTATGCTGTTGGCTAAATTTGCTTGAGAATACCTACTGTGATGAGCACAGTAACTTAATGTGAAAACAGATAAGCTGGTGGCTCCAGAATGCACACGAAGAAAAGCAGAGGTTTTCTTTATCTGCATTTTCAACATTTATTTCACTCTTGGATATGTTCAGTTGTATGTCTTTTTAAACATTACCCTTTTTCACATGGTAGTATAGGGCCAACATGAGCTACCAGTTCAATGTGTATAGTAGACTATGGGGAAATTGATTTTTTTCATGTATCATTCTGAATAGTTGAAATGTATATTTGTACAGTCTTTTAGACCTATTCAAGTGAAGCTTATGAAATTGTTCTTGTGTACCCATCATAGATTTGTTTCTCTTTTTTAGTGTTGCCCTGCTGTGTAATAAATGCTGTATCTAGTTTACCTAGCAAAAGCTTGAAACTGCTATAGTATGAATTTTGACAAACTTAGTTTTTGCACATAACCTTGTACAATCTCAAAACTGAGGCCAGCAACATAAAAAATTATATCTGGACTCTATTGTATTATAGAATTTTCTTGTTCTGAATATCCTTGACATTACAACTGATGACAAATGTATTTCAGAGCCATTTTCTGAAATCTTTTAAGCTAAAAAAGAAAAAATCACATGCAAGAAACAAGTTTGCAGCTACTAATTTTGACACCTTTTAGATCTGTATAAAAGTGTATTGTGTTGAAGCAGCATACAGAAATAAAAATGCTGCATTTTGGATATTTAGTTTTATCTTTAGTTAACACCAACAAGGTGTTGTATTCATTTATACCATCTAATATATGACACACTGTTGTAGTATGTATAATTTTGTGATCTTTATTTCCCTTTGTATTCTTCATTTAAGCATCTAAATAAATTGCTGTATTGTGCTTAATGTAAACATTTGCTTTATTACTAGTGCCATATCACTGTTTGTTAAATTGTGCTTCATTACATTGACCCCTGTAGAAAGAAGCTCTGGGAATTTGCTATGGCAAGTTTGTGTGATGCTGTTGTTTCAGATCTACTGATTGCTTATGGGAAAATTTAAAACATTTTCTATTTAAGATCAACTTAACCAGTAAGTTAATAGCTTTCACCTTCCTCCTTTACTTATTACTAGGAACAGTAGCATATAAATAGACTTGCATTGCTTCACTAGTTCCATAAGCTGCAGGATCTAAAGGCACCGCCATAGTCATGATTTTTCATTCCTTGTTCTTAGTAATCAATTAAGTTAAAGTTCAAGCATACTGGAAGAATCTTTTCGATCTAGAATGTTTCAAGCCTTTTTCTGAGGTATCAGGTATCACATATATATATAATTTTATTTAGAAGGGTGGGTAGTGGGGAAGTACTGACTACTTAAAACACATATTTTCCTGTCATATGGAACACTCTTTTGGAAAAATGCAGCTGTTCTTTAGTTTTTCAGAAACAGAATAAATCCCATATACAGTTTAGTAGTTAATGTTAGTCATTTTGAGTGGAGGGGGTCAAACCAGTCTTCCAGTAGTGGGGCAAGAACATAAAAGATTTGCCTCTTGTCCTCAGAATTCATTCATGTAATCTTCCCTTGAAGAAAAATTCGGATGTGATCCGAACAAGAGTTTTGCATATAAGAGGAAATGAAAGCTTGATTTGCTGAAAGTATATATCCTAAAATACTGTGGTTTTGAATTTCTTGTACCTTTTCAGGATTTTACGTTAACACAATTTGCTGTTAAGCCAGAAGGGTATGATCAGGATATATTGGCAGACATTTACAACCAGTGATAGATAGCAGATGAAAGTTGATTAGGATATGATAAGATGTGCATAGGAAACAAAAGCCATCACTGCTTTACTAATAGAAAAACTGTAGCTAGCTTAACCTATGTGGAGGCTTTTCACAGTAGTGTAACTAAAGGAAATATTTTTAAATCCCTATTCTGAAATGGTTCTGAATTTTGAAAGCATTTTGGGCAGAAACTTGCGTATATCTGCATAGTAAGTGGGTAGATCTAGAAAAGCACTGGTGTAATGAATAAGTGAGCCGCGCAAGCCTAAGCTGAAAGTATTAATATGGTCTATGTATTTAAAATGTATTCTACCCCTTCCACAATTTTTGGTAACACTGACTTCTGAGGGCAGGGATCGGCAACCTTTGGCATGCGGCTCGCCAGGGTAAGCACCCGGGCGGGCCGGGCTGGCTTGTTTACCTGCCCCGTCCACAGGTTTGGCCGATCACAGCTCCCACTGGCCGCGGTTTGCCGCTCCAGGCCAACGGGGGCTGCGGGAAGCAGCGCAGGCCGAGGGATGTGCTGGCCGCTGTTTCCCGCCACCCCCATTGGCCTGGAGCGACGGACTGCGGTCAGTGGGAGCCGCGATTGGCGGATGCGGCAGGTAAACAAGCCAGCCCGGCCCGCCAGGGTGCTTACCCTGGCGAGCCGCGTGCCAAAGGTTGCCGATCCCTGTCTTAGGGAACATCTACACTACAATAAAACACCTGTGGCTAACAGGGTCAGCTGACCCAGGCTTGCAGAACTATAAAATTGCAGTGTAGATGGTTGGGCTGGAGCCTGGCTCTGGGACTTGGTGCCCAGATGTCTGGACTGCAATTTTGTAGCCCTGCAGCCCAAGCACCACAACCCTGAGTCAGCAGTATTTTTATTGCTGTGTAGACATTCTCTTAGCTTCTCAGAGTGAGCTTTCACGTGGATGATGGGTTGATCAATAGAAGCGGAAGTGATGACTGTTTCAGAGTGAAGACTTTTGATTGGACAAGGGGTGGCATAGGTTTTCTCATTTTCTCTTTCCCTTCCAAGGGCCACTATGCACAAGAGGCTGCAGTTATGTTTGCTCCCACCAGCTCCAGCAGAAACAAACAGACAGGACAGATATTTTTAAAGATGATTAGTGGACTGGATATTTTGTTTGTTTTAAACAGGTTGACAATACCTCTTGAGTTTCATATTCTCTTCAGTTGGTTTCAGGCAGGTTCTGTGATATGTATCTTCTGAACGTGTTCGCCACACTTAGGGCTTGTCTACACTACCCGCCGGATCGGTGGGCAGCAATCCAGCTGGGGTCGATTTATTGCGTCTCTTTTATGAGCGCTCTCCCGTCGACTCCAGTACGCCACCAGAGTCGACGGGAAAGCGTCAGCTGTCGACTTACTGCAGTGAAGACACTGAGGTAAGTAGATGTAAATATGTCGACTTCAGCTATGCTATTCATGTAGCTGAAGTTGTGTATCTTAGATCGACCCTGCGTGGTAGTGTAGACAAGCCCTGAGTGATGCAGTGTCTTTAACTGATTCATCTTTAATGTGTGATTCTAAGCTGATGTCCATTTAAATAAGAATTTATAGCTAACAGGGCTTGAAGATCTGAGACAGCCTCATTATCTGAGTTGCCATTTCTAGCCAGCCAAGGTTGACTAGAAATTGAAATATTTAGAATTGCTCCATTTGCAGAAAGCTGTGTAGTATAACTAACTTTTTGTAGTGATTAGATAAAACCCCTGTATTCAAAATTGTATGACTTGACTTATCAAAAGGAATAGTAATGATTTGTTAGCTTTAGCGGAGAGAGGGATATTATGATACTTACCTCTTAATGATTGACATTCCAATGCTCTGTAATCAAGTTGTATTTGGTTGGAGAAGAGGGGGAAACCTGAAGGCTACTTTAGACATTAGGAGACAGTTGAAGCTGATCTCAAGATTTGTTTGTTCTTTACAAGGTTTTACTCATCTTTGAGAAATCTAGAGGCAGGAGGAAGTGGACCAATAAAATTAATATTAGAGAGGAATGTTCAGAATGGACTTAAGTTAATTCTACTCTAGCTAGCAAACTATATATATAAAAAAAATGCTGTCACAGTGTGGCAGAATGTTACTTACTAACATTACAGCTTTGCTTGTAGAGCAGGCATGTTGGGAGGTTGACACTTGAAAGTGAACTCTGCCTACTGGGATCCCAGGAAGAAAGGGGGAAGAGAGAGCTCCATGACTATCTTAGTACCACCTCAATCTGTGCATGAATCTGCCCTAGCTTTATACCCACCAGAGGGGTTCAGAAAGATTACTAAGACATTTGTCCAAAGGGTCAACCTAAGCATCGTTAGTTTTGATTCTTAAACAGGTTAAGTTTATTTTTCCCGTAAAACAGTTCACTGTTTAGATGCAATTTAAGAAATGTCTGTGCTAATGACTGCAAACAGAAGATGTCTGATACAAGGCTGCATAACTTGGAATCTAGTAAGAGCAGGTACAACTCCTAAGTTTACTTTTGACCAGTACTTGTCCTTTTTGTGGTTGAATAATTAGTAATGAAATAAAAGCCAGTGATTTTGGGGCCACTAGCAATTTGTATGGTCCTGTTTTAATATTCCACTTGTGTTCATGGATGTCTGTAATACCTCATTTTTTGAAGATCCCTATATGGGGCACTGATCTACATTGAGCCCACATTAAAAATGCATTGAAGAGGTGCTATAAAATGTTAGTTTTTAACTCCCTCTCCCTGGAGTGGGGTTTGGATGAAAGCTTGTTGGCTGTAACTGAACCATTCCTTTCTAGCAAAGAAGTGTGGGCTACTGGGCTACACTTCCATTCATGGCACATTTGCCAGTCTTAGTACATTTTTTTCCTTTGATTGTTGTGCATTAAACTTTTTAAGTATCTCTCTAGTTTCACAGGTGCAAACTGAACACTTTTATATGCTGTTTCAGAAATATATGAACTGCAGTTTAACTTCTTTAACAGGCTATTAATACCACTGAAAGCTTAGACAAGATTTAATGCTCACATTCATTGTGATTCTTGGCTTTTCACTTAATCAAAGACCAGTGAGGTTATAGGTGCATATTTGGAGATTTAAGATTTCATTTGTGCTAGATTAATTTTCTGAGAGGAATTGCTATAGTATGCATAATAGCTTCCTAGCAATGTGATGTACCATAACACCCACCCATTAACCCCAATATTTGTTTGTTCATGCTACAAACTGTACTGACTTGCTGGTGGTGTATATAGCGGGGTAGCATTCTACTCATGGCTAAAGCAAAACTGTCATTTGCAATTGCAGAAAGTTGAACTTTGGGAATGGCAGTATTCTAGAGCCCCCCTCTTGTTCAAAGTGCAGCACATTACAAAGGTCATTGGAAAGTTGTTATAAATTTTAAATAATATTTTACCTACTGTTGTTTGTAACACCCAAATCTTCTAACAAAAATTAGAGAGACATCTCTCGTTTATTTAGTGTACACTTGATAGCTTAAACAGACTAAAGTGCTAATTGGACAGGATAAATGGTGACTGTTTTCCTAGTTCATACAGCTGCAGGGGCATAGTAGTTTTTGTTTTTAAAAAAAAAAGAAAGCACTAGGAGAGTGCCACTCTATTTAAAAAAAAAATAATCAAACTTAAAGGCACATGCAGTACTTGAAACTACTAAAAGATGTTTGGTAAATTGACTATCGGGAGTAGCCTTGTTAGTCTGTATCCACAAAAACAACAAGGTGTCCGGTGGCACCTCAAAGATTAACAGATTTATTTGGGCATAAGCTTTCGTGGGTAAAAAACCTCACTTCTTCGGGTGCATCTGAAGAAGTGAGGTTTTTTACCCACAAAAGTTTATGCCCAAATACATCTGTTAGTCTTTAAGGTGCCACCGGACTCCTTGTTGTTTTGGTAAATGGAATGTTTTCCTTTAAAGGACCAAATCTTAGTCCCATTGTATTAGTGGAAAGCTTGCCCTTGATTGGAGGGTAGGAGACAAGGATTTGGCCTGATGAAAATAGGACTAGAACAGCCTTAATATTAAGCCATTACTTGACGGGGCACTACAGGGTGGGTAGTTGAGAAATAATGACTTGAGATTTTGGGCTTGT